AAACAAAGAAACCTTTACAGGACCTTAATGGATATGAGGATTTCCCATAGAGCCATGGCCTCTTGGCTGTGATTGTAGCAGCACAGCCCCCCTGTCACCACCATACCCAGTCATGTAGCAGTTACATTTCCTCTGTGGGAGGAGGAACGCACACAGAAGTTGCCCCAAGCCTCACTCAAAGCCACACTTTCACTTGGATCAATACTTGGTTTAGTTTGGTTATGGATGTAAAGGGCTGTCCTCTGCTTCTTAAGGAATTTAAAATCAAGAAATGATCTTGGATTTTAACATGGCATAATGCAAAAAAACCCCTCAAGGTAGTTTAGTGGGAGTCAGGAGCTTGCCTGAGAGCTGAATTGTCCTTTGTTCACTGAGTTAACCACTACAGTAGTCCCCAGCTAATTCCCCCTCGTGTTTTGGACTAAATTCCTTACTCTAAGGTATGCAGGAATTATGCAGCACATGGTAACACACAGCTGTGTCCATATGCCCCTGGCGTGGGGTGCTGGTGGAAGATGGTAGCTGAAGTGATGCACCTTCTCTGTCTGCTGTGCAGTGTGCATTCATAAACTGCAGTTTATGGTCCCTTTGGACCTCTGGCAGATAATCCCTCTTCCAAAGCCAACCTTGAGTTTGTACAAGTGCTCGGTTACTTCAGACCTGTAAGGTATTTCTCTGCAGAGGGAGCTTTGTATTAAACAGAAACTTTTCTCCTCAGCCATCTGCTTTTCTTGCTCAAATGTATTGTGGTAGGGATCATGATTGTCTCCAAGGTGATATAATTATGATGCTGTTCTTAATTATGGCTCTACAGCATGAATCGTGCAGAAAGAAGAATGGAATTTGAGTGACTACATTATTTATACCAAACTTCACTCTTAAATGCTTTGTCATCCTGCAGTATTGGAGGCACACAGTAATATCCTTCTAGAGAAATCAAAGGACCCTCCAGATGAAACTGGGATAAAAATAGAGTAACCTATAGGATTGTAACAGTAAGCTCTGATGTTTCTAACCAAAAAAGCCAAGCACATCGTGACTGTAGCATGTCATCTTCCTGCACGTTTGTGAGAGGAAAGCAAGCAAAGGCTTTTTTAAGTCTCTCTCCCAAGAGCATTGTAACACCCACTGCAGCACTGCTGACAGGCATGCCTGAGTTCATTTCCAGTTACCAAAATTAGGATCTGTATCTTGTTTATGTAGTCTCAAAACAAGCCAAAATATGGCTATCAGAACTCTGTGTTGCCATGCAGATTATCCAGAAGGACACTTCTGAGTAGTAACACGAGTTCTTTCCTTCTCTTTCAGCTTGTATCAGCTGTTGGGTATCTCCGCTGTAGAAACATCCTTCACAGAGATATCAAGGATGAAAACATTGTCATTGCTGAAGATTTCACAATTAAATTAGTGGACTTTGGTTCAGCTGCCTACCTGGAACCTGGCAAACTGTTTTATACCTTCTGTGGAACAATTGAATACTGCTCACCAGAAGTGCTGTGTGGCAAACCGTATGTCACTCTCTGAAAAGGAATTTTTTTGTGCATTGACCAAAAAAAGTGCATCTGCAGGGCTGGAATAGAGAAGCCAAGCTGCTTTGCCATTGGAGCTCTGCTGGAGCATCTAACCACGGAAAACTGCAGTGAGATTTAGGGCACTGTGGTCACAGAAATTATTTGTAAAGGCTTGAATATCTATGGAGTTGTTTCTGACTCAGTCTGTTGACAGACTTTCTGATTCTGGTCAGATATTTTGCAAAGCCTTGTATTAATGTCTGTCCTACTGCAAAGCTGAGTTTGAGAACAAGCCCATGATTTTCATTTCCAGCCTGGTAGAAGAGTCTGAATGTGTTGTGACCTGAATGTGTCTTTTCCTTAATCTTTCATAATCTGTACATCAGTTTGCTAACCATACCTGCGTATGAACACACTGATGTGTCACTGCTGAAAGCTGTTCATTAGAGAGGTGGTATTAGCAAGTACTGCTGTAGAGCATCTGCAGCTTACCATGTCTGGGTTTTGTAGTTCCCCCCTCCCATCTCACTTGTTTCCTTCTTTCCTACTTGCTTCCCTGTATGAATTTTTTGCAGTTTGATCACTGTTCATCTCCCCATTGATTTTTGTGCTCCTCTGGGCTCAAGGATTCTTCCCTTGCAGCTTGTCTTGCTGCTATCTCGGATGTGCTGTCCAAATCTTAGCTGTCTTTTCTCTATTCCCTCCTTCGAGTGCTCTTTACCTGGAGGCTGGTAGCCTCCTGGAGGGAAGCCTTACCATGACAGGGTGCTAAACATTTGTTGTATGTACAACTGTCATCTTGCTCTCATGTCACAGCTGTTTTCATGGGTCCTTCAGGCAGCTCCTCTTAACGGGGTGGGGGGAGAAAGCTATGCAAGGAGAGGAAATCCCTGCAGGAAACAAGATGAAGATGAAGCAGGGCTGCCCCTGGGAATTCAGCCTCTCACCGGGTGAAGAAACTCTCTTTTTCTCAGATGGAATGTAAATAATTAATATTGATTTCCAAATAACTTTTGTTTTGAAAGGGGTGGGAGGGGACAAATGGGATTCCACTTAAGTGTCTAATCTTCCATTTAAATATTTACTTGATAGTTTTGGCTTATAGTGGAGCAGGAGGAGGCCTGAGTTCTCTTGTCACCAGTTTATGCATGTGGAATCCAGGTGCACGCCCATCAACTGAAATTGGTTGGCTGTTCTCTTGTTGTTTTTCTTTCACAGAGAAGGATAATATAGGCTTCTCAAACATGTGAGAATCTTAATAGAATTCTCAAATTTCCTATGTTAAACAAAAATTGGAAATAAAGGCTATCAACTGCCTTTTTTCTTTTGAGTTTCTTTAGCACACAATTATGTATTTGCAGTCTGAGTTTAAGGAAGTTTTTTCCTGTGTAGGTACCATGGCCCTGAGCTCGAGATGTGGTCGCTTGGTGTCACCCTTTACACCCTGGTACTGGGAGAGAATCCCTTCTGTGAGCTGGAGGAGGCTGTGGCAGCTGTCCTGAATCCTCCTCGGCCTGTCTCAAAAGGTGAATTTTTCCCATTTGCTTTTCTAAATGAGCAGATCTCATGGGAAAGTATTTATTCCCCGAAAATGAAGGGGAAGGCTGGAAAAATGCTTCCAAATGTGCTCTGCAATGATTTTAAAAGATACTCAATGAAGCGGAGTTATCTGAGGTATCCTTTTCAGGTAAGTTCTGCAGTTCTTCATGCCCACAATGAATACAGCTATCTGCTGTATGTTTATTAGTTTCAAATTCCAGCTCCCATTTATTATGATGACTCAACCTAGCAACTTGCCAAGTGAGGCTTATACCCGAGAAAACCAGAACAAATAATGCCCGATGGGAAGGTTTGCTCTAGTAGATGACTTTAAGATCAATAATGGCACTCATGTAACTCTTATGCAAGTTTTATCTCACTTGAACTATTGCCAATCAATGCCATGTCACTTTTAGGATGGATGTGTTAATTTGTAATTTCTGAATGAATCTTATGGCTTGGCCTCACAGGAGAAATACATTGGCCTTGTTTTCTGTTGGAGGTATGGAAAACTAATTGTATGTCAGGCTAAAAGAAATCTGCATCAGCAAGTTCCCTTGGGGTCCTTAGGAGCACTGTGGTTGTAAGGCTTTAGGGTGCTGCAGTTGACTGGTGAATTCTGGAATCTTTCCCTCACCCCTGCATGCACCTTTAATCACAGATTAAACACAGAATGACTGCAGGGCAAGACTGGGCTTGGAAACAGTGAGTCAGGGTTGCCTCTGCGGCATTCGTTTCTACTTCTGCCCTCCTTGGTGTCATAACTGAGCTTAGTTTTCTGTTTTCACAACCTGGAAAACTCAGCTCGTTCCCAGAGCTGAGCACGTGTGACTAAGCCTGTGGAAGAACTGTACGGCATGAGAGATTAATGGGGAGGATTTGTAATTAAAATCTGCATTCTTTGAATATAAACCATATCTTGCATTCCCAGCATGCCTGAAACACAGCCTGAGCCGTTTCTCTCACTGCTGTCTCTCCCCAGATCTCATGGATTTAATCACTGGGCTGCTGCATCCTGTTCCAGAGCAGCGCATGACTCTGGCAACGTTAGTAGAGAATTGCTGGCTGAAGCAGCCTGTGAACCTGGGTGATTATACCTGGGAAGAGGTCTACAGCTCTGCTGTGACAGGTGAGACCCCTACTGAAGGGCTACCCCTCCGTGCGGGCCCCCCCCACACCCAGCAGTGATTTCTCGGAGAAAGCCGAGCTGTGCTCAGCAGGGTGCTGCAGAAGGTAGCCTGCCCATACCCAGACATGCTCTGTTTGGTGATAGGCATACTGGCTGGCAGGATCTACGGCTCACCCCGCACTGTCTCTCCCTAGAACGCAGCAGATCCAGAAAGGGCTCTGGTGAGTGTGCAGGTGGGGACAGGCACTCAGCTCCCAGCATGGAGAGCGAGCTGTGCAGGGTCAGCTCTGGGCTCCCTGCCACTCAGCAGCACACCTCCCTCCCCGTGGAACGATAGCTCCCCACTCAAGGAGCAAGAGGAATTAATTGTAAGCGCTTCACTCTTGTAGAAAGGTTGCTACTACTTCCCTCTTGTAGAAGGATGAGCAGCGGACAGGGCAGCCTGGGCACGATTCATCCAGAACAGCTGCTTGCTAATAAGCATTTAGACTTGTTCTTATACAGGATGTGTTTTAAAGCTGTAAGGAAAAGATTTTAATGTCTTGTTTAAATTGTTCATGACTCAGAATATATTTTTATTGGCTGTTTTTAGATGTAGTTTCACTGTCTGAAAAGTGAATGAATAAACACCTTTATCTTGGCCGACTGCCCTCTGGGGTGTTGACTGGAGTTCGTGTGCACAAAGGAGCCTTGAAAACAGACACAGAATTGTAGGAAGGGTGGGACGCCCCCCTCCCCTTCCAAGGCTAG